TACAAGTGATATGAAATAGCCTGAGTTAAAAACTCGACTCTGAGTCAAAAACTCAGCATCAAAAATTGTGAGATACCCCATGATACTGCATGCCACACGTAGAGTAATGGGAAAGCTTAAACGGCTTCTGCCTCAGGCAGAATGCAACAGAAAACCTGACAGGGAAAGGTAAGATGGTAGCGGTGAAAGCAGCCAGGATTGCGTGGTGATTGCTGCATGGGAGGTTGCAGCCAAGACTCTAAAATGACTTAAACCACTGCTGTATACTTTTGGATTTGTTTCTTCTTTTCTTATGTTTTGGAGGAGAAGAGGGTGTGTCTGGAAGTTCAGATGCTAGCTTGGGACTTAGGCCATATTTATCCAGGTTTCTGCCTTGCCAGTTACTCCCTTCGGTAAGCTGCTCCCATCCTTCTGCCTTTTGCCCCTCATTCTCCAAGGAAAAATGGTGCTCCTGTACCCCTGAGATGTATGAAATTAATACTTGTGAGGCATTCAGGTACAGTGCGAGAGAGAGCCATGTCAGGCCTTGAAGAGGTTTGCTCTGCATTACCTTTTGACTGTAGACCATGGACAGCCAAGGGGATCCTTCAGAGCACTCAGTGTAGCTGACTTTCAAATGCAAAGCAGTGTTTGACCTGAGCTACACAGGAACTGATGTTGAGCTGTAAATCTCTCTCATTCACTCTCCAGAATGCTATCTCTTAATTCTGCTTCATTTCTCACCTTTCACATTTCTTGTTTAAACATGAAAACTATTCATATCTTTATTTATATCATTCATTTTCTTTTGCTAGCAAGCACTCTTTTGTCTTGCCTAACTCCACTTCATCTGAAACCGTTCTTCCTCCTTTCCTCCTCCTCCTCATCTATGAGCTCAGGTGGGAACCACCCATCACTGGGACACCTGCTAGGACTGTGTGAGCAGGTAAATCTCAGGATTTATAGATCCTGCTTCCCAGCTCCTGCCTCCTGCTCAGCACCCAGGTGAGGCTGAGGTGAGAGGTTATTCCTTCCATCTGTGCTGTGATTGCTGGTTACAGAATAGGTCGACGTGTTCTGAGGAAGGAGCTGGTGAGCAGCTTGGTTCCTCCATGGGCTAGGCCTCTGAGAAGTACTGTGGTCTGAAACTGGAGCTTGCTGGAGGGATAGCTGGGGAGAGAAGGAGGGGCAGGGGCAATAGTATGGGATCACTGTGAATCCAAGCCTTTAAAGGTCCTGTCTCTGCCCTCTCCTTATTTTTCTTCCTTTCCCAATTTGTAAGAAAGGTCTAGCAGCTGAGAATCTAGGCTGGGACTCACGAGACTTACTTGATTTAGTTTGATTTCTTTGGTTTAGATATGTGAAACAGCATTTCACTCTAGGGGGTAGGAGTCAGCAAAGGCAGGAGTGGGAACACAGTACTAGAGCCAGTAAGGAGCTGACCACATCTTTGGCAAGAAGCTGTTAGACTGACTCAGCTGTAACATGCAACTGCATCTGCCAGCCGGTGGGGCCATCCATGTTGTCATCCCGTGGTCCTGTGCCCTCTTGTTAACAGTCTTTTCCTTCCCTTGTAGTGGTGAAGCTTGGGACAATGAAAGAGTCTAGTAAGGACTGTAGCCACAAAAGTATCTGTTTGGGAGCCTGGCAGCTACTTGCTGTACCCCTCTTTACTCAGCGCCCCCTAAAGTGACCTGAGTGGAGAAAAGAGGCCATTTTGGGGGACAGCCAACTTCTGGGCCTTCTCTTGAGGATTTGTACATCAATGGTGTAGGTAACAAATCTTGTCAGAGGTGGTGATGCCTGCAAGTCATGTACAGCAGGTGTCCTTTAGGTAGCCAGGAAATTTGTGATGTTTTTGTTTGACATCTGCAGCCTCTGTGGAAAGAAGACAGTGTGACTCTTGCCTTGCATTTGCAGCTAAAACCTTATCAAGGGCTGAAAAGAAAATGCACCTCCTTTTTTTTAATCTTCTGCAGTACAAAGAGTGTTTTTCTAACGTAAACTGAGGAGCGTAGGGCTCTGTGGGAGTGATTACCTACTAGAAATTTATTCTGTGTGTCTGTGAGTGCCTCAGCAAGATAGGATGGGAATAAAGAACGAGGCCAAACCTCCAGATAACTCTGAACGTGAGGACTCATTTGCTGGGTTCTTTCACTCTTTCAATCTCTTGTTCCTTCAAGACAAAGGAAACCTTTCCAAGGGAACTGACACCTACTGATAGTGTTTTGTTTTTTAAAGAAAACCCAAGTTATGCTGGGAACTATGACCTACCCAATTTTAAGTCAAACCAAATAAATATACTTGGGGTTTGCCTTTTGTCTGTTCAGTACCAGCTTTTCTGTGCCCAACATGAGTCTTTTGAGAAATCTTCTAAGAATATGGAGGTCAGGAAGGCAACTCCCAGGCTCTGTTGCCTTCACAGTGGCTGACAAAACACATAAGAGCTCAGGCACCCAACAACCCCACATCCCAACAGGTCAGTACTCCATTTTTCCCAATGCTGACCGTTCTCTCTGCAGGGTTTCCTGGTCAATCTCATCTTTCAAGGAGGGACTGTGTCCAGTTCCCTTTTAGAAAAGACAATTTTTAAAATTGTCCTTGTGTGAAAGAAAATACTGTATTCACCAGCAGTGAAAACAGAGGGCTAGGTGCAGTCTGGCCTGTGCTGTGCTGATGTGATGAGGCTGGGCCATGAGTCCAGCAAGTTCTGCTCATTTCTACACTGTGTTGTGGTAAGCCAGCATGTACAGTATTTTTCCTTTACCTTAGAGCTTCCTCCCAGGACTCTGGCAGTAATTTGATCCTGCTTTGATAAACCATCATGCAGACACAACATGGAACTGTAGTCCTAATGACCTGTGTTATTTGAAAATCAAATGACACTTTCTGAGGAGGAAGTTCTTTAGTTACAGTGTTTTCCTGAGATAATTATATCAAGGCAGACCATTACCCTCCCCTGTAGTTTCATTTATTGCTCACTTTGTCTAAACTCTTGAATGCTATTGCACTGCATTCTTTTGTCCTGCTCCACCCCATCATTTCAAAATAGGTTGCCTGTTTGTTTAAAAGTACAGCAAAAACTTTAAAGTCTTGAGGAGAGAGATGCCATGTATTTACTGTTATGATGTACAGTTTGCTGGTTCGATTTCAACTGCCTTGTTGCACCAAATTGAGAAACTCTTTGACTCTTCATCTCCCTTGTCTTCTAAACTAGCAAGATATAAACAGGAAAAGGGGGTGACACCTTTTGTTTGATATTGTTTGACTCTCAAGTCAGTTTGGGCTCTGATACTAATAACTTCCTGGTTTGCTGTAAGTCTTCAAACAAGTGAAGAGCCTGCATGTGCATTCACTTTTCAACCTGAACTTAAGCAACTACATGACTAGCATGTTCCCAGGCTCTGGGCTACAAATTCCAGTTTGCTGCTTACCTCCAGGCCAAATTTTTAGAATTGGGAGTCAAATCGCTGAAAATTGGGTGCCTAAAGCCACAGTTGGTTGCCAAAATGCAAATGACCTGACAGTCACAACAGCCGAACACCTGCTGACCCCTATAAGAAGCTTGGGACTTGAGAGGGCAGAATCTATACAAATTAGACTAATTTCATGTTTGAACTCAAATAAGGATCCTAATTTGAAATGCTGGACTGCTAGGGATGTGCTCAGAAGCTAGAAACAGAAAAGAGGATCTGCAAAAATATGGAGAAAGATGCATTTGTGTAATATCACTTGTGCAAGATGCTTGTGAAATGTAATATGTATTGCATTGCATTGTTTTTCACAGATGCTTAAAATACCAAGACTTTTTCTTTTCCAGCTATTTAAATAATTTTCCCTGTGAACTGAACTGCTTCCTCTGGATAATACACTGTTTTTCTACCTGCTGGAGAGGTGGAGTCCCCCTGAATGTACTACTGCTCTGCATAACCAGGAACTGTCTCCTGAACACAGAGTAAGACAGAACAGCTTGGAGTTAGCAGTCCTGTGAGATTTACAAATCAAACCAGCTAATCAAGATTTAAAACAGCTCTGGATTGAAAAGACTAGCAAGTGGTCCAGCTGTGAGTTAATTCATTAGTTGCAGTAAATATCACTAGAAGAGCTTGTCAAAAGGAAATGTGAAGCAGCTGAAAAGAATCATCCTTACAGTGAATGTCATAGGCTTTTGCAGCTGTCATCCAGTGGACTGGAGATTCCAGGCATTGGAGAGAAAATGAGGGTGAAAGAAATAAAAATTTGAGTACAGAGGATAAAGTACTAGTTCCCACTGAGTGATTATAAAGGAAGCAATCTTACCACTACAGGGACCTAATTAGAGACTGAATCTCACAACTGTCTAATGTCTCCTCCAGGACTCTGAGAAACCCGAATGAGCTAACGCAGTCCACTCAGACCAGCAGCACTAGGAGGCTCTGCTGCTTCAGGGCACACTGGGATGCCACATTTATGTAGCTGTGGGCATTTTCCAGTGTTCTTTTGTCCTGTTCAGCACTCGCTTAGAACCAAAGCAGCAACATTGTTTTCTTGCCTGGCCAGCACAGCATCATCTTGGTCCTACAGAAGGCAACAATGGGCTTCTACTGCCACATACCTGAGTATCCCTAAGGAAAGGCATTGTACCCATTGTACCAGGCAAATATAAGAGTTAGTTGTCAGCATTAACAAAAGAGAATTTCACATTTCTATGACTGATCTGATGAATCACTACTTTTCTTGCTCCCCAAAATGTGTAGATCAGGTGTGAGTCCTCAGGCCTTCTTGGAGTCACCAGTGCTGTCAGTCAGGGCTTGCGTGTATCAATTCACTTAAGCCTGGGTGCAGGGCTCAGCTCTCCCACCTTGATCCACCTATTTCTTGTCTGAGACACTGTCACCCTTCTTTCCATCCTTGTGGAAATGTGGAAATACTGGCCATAGTTTGAGGGTAACCTTTGGCAGCAATGCCCACTGCTTCTCTAGCTGCTCCTTCCAACTTCTGAGCTGCATCACCTCATCATTGATGTGCCAAGCAGGGAACTCCCTGACTTAGGTTTTTTCTTTGGTGATTTCTTCTAAGCAGCAACAAGTTTTTGCTAGATTTTATTTATGACTGATCATTTCTGGACCCTGGTCCTCGGTATTTCTCTCCTGGTGCGAGGAAGCGCTGTGACAGCAAGTAGCCATGCTCTGGGGTCAGCAGTGGGGTGAGCAAGGAGGAATTTTTTTGCCTGGTATTGCCATGAAAGGCACGTTTAATGTAACCCTGTCCCCACAGAGTGATTCTGTGCAGGTGAGGCTTCAGGGAAGTACAAGGATCTCTTCCAGTATTACTGCTACTAGCAGTCACATTTTTCTGTAGCAGGATTTTCCAGGCATAGGGAAGGTCTGTGCCTTCTGAGACCACTCAGGTAGTTCAGTGCTCCTGGGAAGAAGAGGGATAACTGCACAGGTGCATCGTGTTTGCAGGGACAGTGGTTTAGAGGTCTCTTCTGAAGCTGGGAGGAGGTAAGTGACCTGCCCAGAGAGAGCTAAGCCAATATCTGACAAGGACATTTTCATAACCGAGATGAATAAACAGATGCCTTTTTTGCTCTAGGGGAATAATTTCTTCTTTGCTACTAGCCTGAGACCATTCACTTGGCTTAGCCTGTATCTTTACCATATGAAACAAGCCTGAACCATTTCATTTGAGGTTGTTATTTATTTGGGTCAATATAAAACATTTCTGGCATTTCTTTTCCATTTTCCCGCCTTTATATGTTGCTGTCTTCACTCCTGTGTATATGTTTTCTTCTCTAATATCTCAGTTCTCCTCTCTTGTAATATTTTAAATTCTTAATTGCCTGATGCTGCAAATGGAGAGTATTAGTTACCTTCCATGACCACTCTGACCACAATGACTTCCTTTGCTTGACAAGCTGATTAATTTGTCAAGTTGAATGTTTAAGTCTGTCTGGAGTATCTCTGTGTATCTTGTGCAAGATTGCAGTTGAAATTTTGTTCTTTATTGGACATGCTGTTTTTTCAGACACAGAATACCTCTGAGGGGCTTTTTATCCCCCACTTCCCTACTGAGAGTGATGCTCCTGCAGTTTATACCAATGATCATATCCTGCATGTCCCCTAGAAGAGGGTAAACAGCAGGTGCAGCATGGAAACCATAGCATCAGCAGTGCTTTCAGATTGTCCAGTGGATATAATTGAGGGAAAATAGCAAAACTCAAGTAAATTAAATGCATTTTGTAGCAGTTCCTGAGGGAGAACAGACTGCATTGTTTGTGAGCTTCAATCCAGGTCAAGTAGGCCGGATCTTCCACAGAGAAGTTGCTGACTTTGGCCCCAAAAAATCATTGTTAAGGTAAGAAAAATATCCAAATTTCTCTTAATTTTTCCTAGTTGGTACATTATAAAGGCATTCAGACCACTGTAGACATAAACATTCAGGAAACAACACTAAGCAACACAAAGAACAAAAAACAGTTGGTACTTCCTGAGAAGTTTGGAAAACTGACTCTTATACCACTGAGGGAGGGTAAGTCCTAATAGCTACAGTAGCCACATGTCACCTGGGACCAGAGTGTGAATGATTCTTTTGTAATATTACTTGGTGAATGTCTCAACATCTTGAGCTCATTGCAGAAGAGAAAAGAAAAAGCTGGGCAGTGTTATTTTCTGGTGGCACTGGAACATTAATTTCTCTGTGATGGTATCCAACTGTCTTGGATATCTGAGCAGGCAGGTCAAAGAAAGCAATGTGTAGACTTGATTTTTGAAAGCACCTTTTTCCAGTAAGTGTGAACTTATTTTCTTTTAGGAATAATATTTTTTCCTGGCATATTGTAACAGAAATAATAAAATAAACAAAAGCATGGTATACTTGTAAGATGAACCTCAGAGCTATACCGGGCAAGAAGCTGTCTCAAGGCAGCTTTTCCCCAGGGACTTGCACTCCAGCCACTCCCTGCCCCGGGCTAGTGTGCTGGGATGCCCTGGCCTGTCCCGTCCTGGGCTCCCGTCTGTTCTGTAGCTCTGAGCCCTGCCACTTCCTGTCCTCAGAAAGGCAGAGGTGGTGGAGCAGACTCCCAGCAGCTACAGAGGAGCAGAGGGTCTCCATCAGGGTATCTCCTTGCAGGAGATGGAGAAGACACCTCTGCCACAGGGCTGCACCAGGGGCAGTCACAGGCTTCCCTCTACAGCTGGCAGCACTCTGCTTTTTCCCATCATTTATTGTCTGATGTCTGGTTTTGTCTGGTTTGTGCTGGCTTTTGGGACACCTCCTCCTTGGGCTGCCAAGGATGGTGGCAGTGTCCTCACGCCGAGGGTATTGGCCCCGGCCCTGGGCACAAAGCATCCATCCCCACTGCTCGCCTGACCCTCCCCTTGAGACCTACTTTTGCTGGGAGAAACAAGGTAACCTCGCCACTGAAAATAGCTGGGACGGCAGCCAGTGGAGATTAATGGCATCATTAACGTTCTCAGTTTATTTATAGGCTTAAAAATGCCTCAGACCTGCAAACTGAGCAGAGTTGTTCTGTGTAACACAGGGACTGACAGGTCTCCTGCTTCTGCCTTTCCCCTTCCTACTATTTCATTCTGATTGCTGAGACTGTAAAACCTCCGGAGCGGGGACTGTCTCTCATTGTGAACCTACTCTGTAAACCTTCCTAACTGGGGGGATGCACACAGATATTTTTTTTTTTTCCAAGAATGCTGTATTTGTCTGATCTCCTTCCTCCACCAACTCCTTCTGTGCACACTGTGTCCCATAGCCTTCTTTGGGAAAATTATCTTTTTGATGAATTCCTGAGGCACGAGCTGAGCGGTTGTCACAGAAATTTTCTGTGATTTTCTGCCTTGGGTTTTAAATTATGAGCTCTGTAAGAGGAGGACTAAGATTCTCATAGCTGTGGAGAGCACCTAGGATACATAGGGCCCTAGTGAGACATGCAGATGCAATTAATGATCATGGAGGTCTTTCAACAGGAGCCAGCAGAGGCAACCCAGCTCCCAGGTCCCCCAGGAACCTCATGGGACTGGCAAGAAAAGAAAAAAACACCTCAGGTGTGTTGGCCCCAGAAGAGGAGTTTTCAGCACGTAATATGTGGCCACACTGCCTGGCCTGTTTCCCAGCACTTAGTGAAAGGTAAGTGAGAAAGGAGACTTGTTGTCAGCAGGCACAAATCCAAGGGATTGGCTGTGTGACTGGTAGATGGCTTCATGAGTGGGAAAAAAAAAAGTAAAGATGCCAGTAGGGAGCCCTTCCACACAGAAATATGGAGTGCCAGCATGGCAGCTCATGGAGGTGATGTCACTTCAGAGGACAGCTAACTCTGCAGCTTGCTGTTGGGTTTCTGTTGTATCAGTCTGAGATAAACTCCTGTGTCAGTCTCTCCTTAGCCTTTTTCTTCTAGGAGGTGAAATAAAGAATGGGCAGAGAATCACTCAAACCACTGTTGTCTTTTTTTTCCCTCTGGGCAATGAGAATACTTCAGAGCAGAGTGAAGGAGCCCAAAATGTTAGAAGGAGGATTTCTCTGCCATGGCCACAACAAGTGAAGCCACAACCCTGGGAGGCCCTGATCCACCAATATCTGGTGGATTTGAGCTATCTCAGGGCCTTGCTTTCCCTTTCCCAGCTTTCCCACTTGGGTTCTTGGCTCCAGATCTCCTCCATCCTCCCTTGGCCATGCCCCAGCTCTCCCGTCTGGGGAGGACAGTGCCTGCTCAGAATCTCACTGTCCATGACTGTTAAATGGGACCATGATGTGTTCAAGTGCTCAAGGCCAGGTTGGATGGGGCTCTGAGCAACCTGGTCTGGTAGAAGGTGTCCCTGCCCATGGCAAGGAGATTGGAACTACGTTGTCTTTAAGGTCTCTTCCAACCCAAACCATTCTGTGATTCCATATAGTCCTTTGAAGGACAAAAGCATGAGTGCAGTTATTCAGCCATCCAAAGATCCTAACTGGGAGAGTATTTTCATGTCTGATATACATGAGATCCTGTATCATTTTAAAGGATTCAAGGAAAAGTCAGGTCATGTGCAACATCTGAGACAAAGTGGGGAAAAGGTAATATCTAACTGTATTTATTTATTCTAGGAAAGAGATACATCTTATACAGTTGTTTCTCATCTAAACTCCTGAGCACCTAACCAGAAAAGTCAGCACAACTTTCTCACTTACACTGATGTCAGACTAGGGGAGTGAGTCTTGTGGCAAAAGGGACCATCTGCATCTCAAACTAATTACCTGCTTTGAAAAGTGAATATACAAAGTGGTAAGTTTTTTTAACAAGGTGGCTAAGCCATTTCAGCTCTGGGACACCTATCTCTTGGACGTCAGTGCTACACAGTTTCTGTGGAATTGCTCACCCGATACAGAAAGCAAGAACTGGGATTTTTTTCCTATTTCAATGGGCTACACCCAGTTGTAACCATATTTAACCTTCCTTTTTCTTTCTGCCAACACTGGGTGGCACTAAGTAACTCCTTCTGAAGTTTTACAAAATTGACTCTAAAAACTTGAATCACACTGACTTGGCTCCACTCTGTCCTGACAGCAAATGGTTTTGTGTGAGAAACCTTCGATCATATGGTTGTTGCATAGAAACGTCTGACTTGCATGGCATGTTTTGTAGTTCCCTGGTTTGTTAAGTTGTTAAAGCCCCTCTGAATCTCTGACCTCACAGTCTGGTAAAGGTTCAATGTGCTGTTGGCCTTGAAAGCCACATTTCCTGTATTGAGTTGAGAATTGATGGAATACTTGAAAATAACTGTGCTTTATGCCAGAGGTTTAAATAAATCTCACTCAATGGTTGAGGTTGGAAAGCACCTCTGGAGATTGCCTAGGCCAAGATCTCTTCTGCTCAAACAGGGTCAGCCAAAGCAGGTTAAACCAGGTGGTCCCCAAAGGGTTCCAGGAGTCCCTCACCAGCCCCAATGTCTTCTTGGCCTGGACACTGCCATGTCTGCTGGCCGCCACAGCCAGCTGCACACTGTAAAAGTCCTGCTAAAATAAATCAACTTTAAAAGAAGCACACCTACAAACACCTGGCTTTCCCCCCACTGGCAGTGGGTTATAGTGGGTGATAGCTTCTCTTCATAGGCCTTGGGGCTGAGGACAAAGTCTCCTTGGGAATCCGCCCTTCCATTTCTGTGAGGGGTTTGGGGTTGACCTGTACCATGCATTTTAGCTTTTAGTTTGACTACCAAACAGAAAATCAATTATTGGCAGATCTGCCTTGTCAAATAGACAAAGGCCTAGAGAGGCAGAAGGTCTTTGGAGAGAGGCCCTGGCATTTCAGGGATCGTGAGGCTTTGCTCAGAATTCAGAGGATGAACCTCACTGTCCAAGAGGGTAACTTGAGGAAAGGGAGTTGCACAGGATTTTTCTGTTGCTGTAGGAACCTTTACTGTAATTCAGCTCATGTTGATTAACCCTGGATGCTAGATTCTTAAAAAGTGATTAGTGAGATCATACTGGAAATAGAAACAGATGTGCCATCTGTTATGCAGTGTATGGGGTTTAGAGGGAGGTTTTTCTGAAACATAGTTGATCCCGACACTGAAATGAGACTTCACTGCTGTCACCTTCCCATTATGTCCCCAGAAGCTAAGCATCCCTTTGAATGTATGAAGAGAACTGGTGGAATTTGCTGTCAGTGGACTGGTTCTGTAGTTCTGGCCAGTGAAGAGGTTGAGAGCTGAGCTCAGCCTTTAGAGAAAGCCACAATATAGGACTTTGCATCAGAGACACTTTCCAAACTCCTGAAATCCCAGATCAGGAAATCTGGGCTTCATTCTGAACTTGTGCTTTTGCCTCAGACAATCTTTTCCCTCAGTGAAATGTAAACACTGAAAGGTTAGAGGTAGTTTTTTTCAATCATTCTGCAGAGTTGTTCCTGTGCTCTTATCCCTGCCCCCAATATGCTCCCTTCAAATACTCCCCCTTCATACTGTAGGCACTCACTGCAGATCTCAAGGATTATCAGAAGCACTAAGCAGCTCTCAGACAGCAATTGCAATTATGCTTCTACAGCTGTGATTGTCCACAGCCGTGCTTTCTGTCTTCCTCCAGAGCAATGGAGGAAGGCTGAAGAAGGCAACACATCCATATGTGCTTTCCTAAATCTAATCTGGCATCCTTCTGGCTTTCCTAGCCTCTGAAGAGCAAAGTGCACATTTGTGCTGTTCATAGCACTGCTGCCTGATAACTAATATCTGCTCTAATAGGTGAAGCACTGCAGCACCTGGTGAGAACAGGAGCGGGTTCCCTTTGATCCGCAGGGCACCTCTTTCAGCACAGCTGTGCAGCCAGGTAAAAAGCTGTCAGGATTCTTGTTTTCTTCTTCCTTTTTTCAAAGTAAATCTCAAGTCATACTCATGGCCTCTGGCAGGCCTCCATGTACAAATATAATTACTATTTATTATTTATACAGGAACAGAGAAAGGCCATTGCTTTATGACAGTGTAATAAAATGGGTCACTGCTCCCTGTAGGCTTTGAAGCCCAGGACATGATCCAGTGGAGGTAAAAAATAGGACTCCAGGCACTGAAAAGGGATTGCTATAGTGGATCCCTTCACAAAGACCAGACTGAAATGCACTGAAACATGCCTACAAAGCACAGGTATGACTTTGCAGGGGAAAAGGAGTCCGACTGCCTCCCTCCAACAGTGGTGTTACAGGGGAAGCTGAGCACTGCTCCACCAACACCCATAGGGATCAACTGACTGGGGGACCTGCTGGTATTGCACTGGTTTTGCCTGAGTAAAGCCATCTGCCCCTTAAAATAAATTACTTACCTGTCTCCCTATTACTCCTCTTGCCCCACTTCTACCCACTATTATCTGTCCTTGTCCCTGGAGTCTCCATTGAGACCAAGGCAGGGCAGAAGGTGATGTGCCATGAGGAGGAGAGTGACAAGATGGATTCAGCACAAAGTTGTTCTTTACGTTTCCAGAATGTCATCTCAGCCCCCACTGCTATCCTCAGGTCCAGCACTTCATGGCCACCCCCGCAGCTTGTTCCCCAGGATGCTGGGAGGAGCTCAGTTTGGAATGCAGTAGGGGAGAGAGGACAGCCTGGAGAAGGCCACTGAGACCTCCTAGAGGCCGGAAAACATCTAGGGGCAGGTAGAGACTTCAACAGCTGAGCCACTATCTCATCACCCAACCTGTGTGGCAAGGAACCTGGGTGCACCCCATCAGCTCCATTCACTCCAACAGGGATCTGGGGACATAAGCATATATGGTGAACAAGAAGGGCTCATGTTTGCTCTTTGGTTCCCTATAGAGGCATTTTAACACCTTGCAGAGGGATTAGGGGACAGACAAGCACAGCATGGGTGGAAAGCAAGGTGCTAACAAAGCCTGTGGAGCAGCCAGCAACGCCACCAACATCTCTTTTCCCCATGCAGTGGCAGCAACCATTTGTCTCCCATCCCAAATGGAGCAGCCCCCCAGCAAGCCCAGCTGTCCTTCAAGGATGACACGGCTCTTCCGGGCTCTCACTTGTTCACGCAAGGCTGATTCAAAAAACATGTTGGCAGAAGATGTTACAAACCTTTCAAAATCTCTGTTCGTACTCTGGCACTTCCTCCTCTCCATCCTCAGACAGGGGAATCACACAGGTCTGGACCACATTCCCCAGCCCTGGAGCCTCAGCAAGCAGAAGCTGGTGCCTAGCAGCAAGTCGTCCCAATTACTTCTTTTGAAAACACTTTCACCAAATAGTTGATTAATCCTACAAAGTGCTCACCCCAAGCACTGTGTGCTGCATACAAGGATTGTGCACCCACCACCTAGAGAGAGGATGAGGTCTGAGCTCCTCCCACAAGCCTTAATGGCTGAGGAGAGAAGGGATGTTATCAGGAAAGGCAATGCTTACTGGGGAAAAAAGTCACATTATATAATTCTCATTCATCTAGATTCCTCATACTCAAGACATGGAAACAAAAAGACATCCTTACGCTCTTTTTCCATGGAATTTTCATCAGAAAAATGGAAAGCATGTTAAAACAATAGGAAGGATGTGGGGAATCTTACCAAAGATGCCTGAAATCTCTGAGCATGCCTTACCAGCTCTGTTAGCACACTGACTACCCGACCCCTGTGCCCTGGAGCTCAAGGGAAAAGGCAGCTGCACCCAGAGCAGGTTTTTCTCTAGTCAGAGACTAGAGAAAGACACAAGAGAAAGTGCTGGTGGTCCTGAATGCTTTGTCTGAGCAACTGCAAGAAGAAATGTTTTCTCCCACAGTTTTTTGGAATAGCATCACAGTAGTGTGGCTGCCAGCACAGCCACAAGGTCCCCACTTGACGATGAAGATCTGCATCCAAGGGCACACTGGAGCACACTCTGACATGGCAACCCATCCTCCTCTGGGACAGAAACCACTCAGTGCTGAACCTACAACCACCCATGACAACCTTGATGCTGCCCCTTAGTCCCGCCTGCCCAAATAATTCAGTAGTAACTTTCCACCTCCACACACCCCACTAAAACCATGTATTTTTCCCAAGTGTTTAGCAAATGTAACCTCTGTGTTTTATACCTTTCAGTCATTGATCAAGCTGATGTGTTTCTCTTTTGGACAAATAGTCATTACATCTGAAAGTTTATGGCTGGGCTTTGAAGTTAATGTTCTCTGAGATGAAGGAGAAAGTTCACACTTCTATTGCTTCCAGTCCCTCTGGCTGCAGACCAGATAAGACAGTGATGCCTTCAATTTAAAAGTGATGAGTATTTTTGCAGGCAGAAAAGCCAAAAAACTTCTTAATGTAATAATGGCTTGAATAGTGCTATAGTGCTCAGCAAAATGCTGGAAAAGGAGGGAAATGAATCCAGGAAACCTATGGGTGCCTCAGACCTGTTATTTCTCTGTTTACTGTTTAAGTTTCCTGTGAGGTTGTGTTTTCTTTCCTCCAGTTTTGCTGTTGTTGCAGCCCCATTGACTCAGGTTGTTCACAAGCCACTATTTTCTACCAGCAACCTGTGGGGAAAAGCAGCCTCTGCAGACAAAGAGTTTTTTCCTGAGTATTAGCGAGTCCCTCCCTCTAATTGTCCTTGAATAGGTAAAGAAGATGCTGTTTTACAGCACATTCCATTAACAGGCAAGAACAAGTGTTTAATCTGGAGAGTGTTAAGGCATCCAGTTCCTTCACACTGGTTTGGAAATTGCAGCTTCAGTGTGACCTTTTCAAGCCTCCTTCTTATCCTTCTTCCTAGTGCAGTATCAGCTAAGCCCAAGTGAGCTGGATCCTCCGGCCTTCACTGGGAGAAGGCTTTTAGCATCTCTGCCTGAGAGGATTTCAAGAGGCACTCTGTACAGAATGCGCAGAGACAGAGTATCACTGCCTGCAAGCTCCAGTGGGAGTAAGCAAGGCTGAAAGGACTTTGGAGAGTTCCCAACGTTGGCTGGATGAGGCTCTGGAAAACCCCATCCCTCTCCAAAGATGGTAGAGCCACCACCTGAGTAGATGTGCCTGTGCATGCCTACATCCTGCTCCCTTGCCCACCATATCCCTCTGGGCCTCTTAACTCAGAAGTGGCTTTTCCATTTGACCCAACTAGTCATGAGACAGGCCAAAAAAAGAAATGCTGGGGAGATCTACATGTACATCTCAGCTGAGGTTATCTGAACCTGTGCTAGGGAGATGTGAAATGTAGTTATGAAAGGAAATCCTGCAGAGCGTACACAGGTATCACTAGCACTTTGATACTACTAACAAATGGATGCTTGTACAACTAAAATAGCTTCTGAAATGTGATTTGCAAAATGGAGAGATTTTTAATAATTTGGAACTGAAATACATTCCTGGTGTAGTATGTTAGAGGAAGGATCAGTGTACTGCAGCTCACAGCTGGGCAGCTAAACCCACTTCTCCGATTCATTTAACTGTCTTTGATTTGTTTCTCCTAAATATTCAGCTGAAATTCAGCTGGCTGGCATCGGCCATGTTCAGATCAGTAAGGTATCATAGGACGAATGCAGTGCTTTGTAAAGTACAATTTGGTACCTGACTGGAGGGATCACAAGCCCCCACAGCAAACCCCACTTTTTCCTCCTGTTGCAGAGGACAAGCGCTGCTGGGAACTGACAGCCAAGCAGCACAAGGCTCTCAAGCCTTCCTGGCACAACCACAAAGATCATTCAGAAAATCCCTCCAGGAGGTGATAAAAAACACCAGGGTGCCACCAGCATCCCCCAGAGCAACTGAGAGTCTCTCTATCACTACAGACTTGCAGCATCCTTTGCCAAAAGCAGTAGTTTCCTTTCATTGACATCTGTGCTGCTCATTTGCCTCTGTCAGAATGACCAAGTGACTGGATGGGCTCTGGGGGATTTCTGTTGATCCTCCTCCATGTCTTGGCAATGGGATCTGCCTCACTGAACACTCAAGAAATTACCCCCTCCTTTATTTTACTCCATTTAATCTTTTGCTAAATAAATTCGACTTACTGTTAACTGTGCTGCCCAACAACAGTGGTTATGTTTGCTGCTGGTTTAGTTTCCAAGTAATTTAAATAAACAACTGAACCATAAGGAGAAACTATTAAACATCCTTTTCCCCTGAACATCATGATGTGCCAGGCCATTAATATTTCTTTATCACTGCAAACTTTGAGGCTCAAAATCCATGCCTTGGATTGTCGAACAGGATAATTATGAAACATTTTCAACTACTGAGCTAATGAGCACTAAATCCTGCATCGTGGTGAATGCGATGTTGTGCGAGTTTCCTCGAGAAATTTGGGTCTGCAATTAAGCAGGGAGGTATTTCATCTTCTAAGGTGACATCAGCCACTCTTGTCCTGACATTAAAAGGCAGCCAATGCCCCTTCCAGTTTTCCCAGGCAATCAGCAGACAGAAAATCGGTGCTGTGCTTGGGAACATCAGCATCAGGAGGTGCAGAGGTGGTTGTCCTGCTACAGGTGTCGGGGCTAACCTCTGGGAACAAGCCCCAGTATAACACCCCCTCTCTGTCAGTGAATACCCTGTCTTTCCTTCAGAAGCACCTATAAGCACTTGGCAGTGCGGTGCCACACTGGGGGCATGATGGATTCATCTCCCCTCTCAGGGGAACTTGGGGATTGGAAGCCAAATTAGGGGCTTTGATGATTTTCTCTCCTTCCTCTAGGGAAGGCAGGGCCAGCAGGAGGAGGGGACTGGATACCAGAGGCACTGGAGCATCCCTTGGAGTATCCGTGGCATCAGGACATCCCATTGTGTGGCTTCTGCTTGGCTTGTGCTGCCTGCTCACTCTCATTTTCAGAGGGTGGCATATCTGAAAGCAAAGCTCTGCACTCCTCGGAGACACTCTGGAGAACACTAGCCTGTTCCCCAACTCCCGTGCAAAGTAATTTTGTTTCACCATAAAAAAAAATCTTACTGCCCAACACGGAGCAGGTTTGGAACAGCCCCTGAGAAGTGCAGGGCTCTGCATCCCATTAGTGCTGCCCGGAGGAAGCTGGACAGAGTTTTTATTAAATCAAGTTCAGCCAATGCTTAAAGAAGGGCTTTTTTGAACTAGGAGCTGAACCTCATGTTTGGTGCCCTGCCAAGCTCAGGATAGTGTGAGGAGAAAAAGGAGATGTATTTTTGGACTGCATGTCTGTGAACAGGCTGTTAGATAAAATTAAAGAGGCTGTTTATAAAGAATCTGCTGGTGCTGAAGCAGATGTGGAGGCCCTAGTTTACGACAAGATATATTTCTGGAGTTGGCATGAACAATCAATTTCATTCAGGACTTTCCTCATGCTGTAATGATTTGTTGGTTTGGGTTTGATTTTTTTTCCTCATTTCATTATTTTAACTGAAGCTGGCACAATGCCCTCATTACTTGTGATAAACTTGTTTGTTTACTTATGTCGTGGTAACCGGAGAGCTGGACTCAGGCTCTGCTTCCTTGGATGCTGTTCGCTTCCTACCAGAGCACTTGGGGCTGTTTGACACTGGCAGCAAAGCAAAAATATAGCGTTTCCTTATTTTCTTGCCATGTTGCATGTGGATGATGAACACTTTGGCTCCCCCAGGCTCCTGAGTAGGCAGTCATAAGACGTTCTCTTACTGAAACCCCACAGCACAAGGACCCCCAGCCCTGCTCATGCTTGGCAGGCACAAAGGCAAAATACCTTTACAGAAGTCAACACAGCTACTTCCTAGAATCACAGAATGGTTTGGGTTGGAAGGGACCTCTAAAGGCCATCTAGTCCAAACCCCCAGCAATGAGCAGGGGCCTTGAATGTCTCCAGGGATGGGGCATCTACCACCTCCCTGGGCAGATCCCAGAGCAAACGTCTGAGTGTTCTTCTGAACTGATGTCATTCTTTACTAAGCTATGTTTACCATCCAAGAAAATGCTTTGGTTTGTGCGTAATTTTACATGAATACGTGGAATGTGTTTAATAGTTACTCTTACACTCTTACAATGTTTTAAAAACATTCTGCTTTCCTCAGCATTGCAGGCAGCAAAGGCATCGCTGTGCTTTTACGAGAAAAATCAAGAGCGCAAGAGCACATTTTGAAGTGAAGGCACATTGTCAATAATTATGCACGGTTTGGGTTTGTGCTGCGTCGCCACTCATCCTTGGATCCTACACCGAGTCCTGACTTTCTTATGGCACAGATAATTACTTAAAAGAAAGAAACCCAACAGAATTTCCACGATCTATATCTACAGCCTCACACATGGAAGACATAACATTTGATGGTAAATTTTTGCTTTGACGTTATAGTAGAAGTTAAGGGAAAAGGTGTCATCCTTGGCCCAGAGTTTCATAAGTGCCACAGGCAGATGGGCTCTTTTAAACCTTCTTCTCCTCTTCCAAAAGGAGAAACTCACAATCTGGACTCAATTGAACCTTAAAGCCATAAAATTCCAGGTTCCAATAAATCTTCATTTTATAAAAACACATCCAGCATATATCATAACAGAAACCATAAAATAAATTAAACATGTGTGGGTCACATACTCTGTTGGATGCTCCTTAATAGTTTTGCAAAATCAGTGGAATAACGAGGTGCAGTTTTGCTCTATGAAGTTATGGTGTCTCCCTGCAGCACAGTTGGGCTGCCCAGGGTGCCCACCCAGAACATAAGCAAACACATGGGAAAGGGGCTGGCAGCTCCACTTCCACATCTTCTCCATCCTTTCCCAGTGCAGATAAGCTGGGCTGCAGCCAGCATCCCCAAAGGCCCAAGGCCTGCGCTTTGCTTCAGATGCTGGAGTGATGGCCTGCTCCACACGGCCCAGTGGGCATCCCACACATCTTTCCTTTGGGGGGCACTTGCTCCACCAGCCCCAGTGAGTGCCAAGGCCATGGTGAACAAAAGCACTGTAAAATCAAAGGAAAGGATTTTAAAAAGCGATATCTGGGGGGAGGGTATGCCTGCCTGTTCCTATGAAGTGGAAATGCAAAGCAAAACCAAAAGGAGCTGGGATCACACTGCAGAGACACGGACTTTAACAAGGTCTTTTTCAGGGCTTTAAAAAAATTATTCATGTGATGTAATCTTGACATTTCTTGTCTCACTGGTAAGTTCCTCGGATCAAACACCCGGAACGCCGGCAGCTTGTCACCACCTCGTGCAGCTCCTATTACCTGCGGCATCCCGTGGGACACAGGAGGAGAGAGGCGCAGGGGTCTGGGACAGCAGGCAGCAAGCACCCTGCACCCCTCTTCCTGTGCTCCTTCTTGCCCTGGCTGGGTGATACACTGAACACACAACTCCCTTTTTAGAAATTCCCCTTAATTTTGAGGGTCGAGGTTTAAGGCTCCCTGCCAGAGGTCTTGCACCCGGAAGCCTTGGCAAGGAGACTAAAGCCTGTGAGGACCCTGGCAAGGACAGACCCTCAAACTTTATAACAATATATAATCTATGTTTTTCAATCTATCGTATAATGGCAATTATACAAAATTCCAGGTGACTTGCTGGAGTAGTCATGACCAAGTCCAAAAGCAAGCAAAGCTCTATGAACTTTGGGAATCTTCTCATCATGAAGATTCATCAAGGTTCTGCTAGCAGAAGTTGAAACTAGAAAGTTAGGGGGGAAAGGGAAAAAAAAAATCCAGCACACCTTATTAGCATTTTGTCAAGCATTGGAACAGGCTTCCCAGGGAAGTGGTGGAGTTGCCAACCCTGGAGGTATTTAAAGATGTGTGTTGTGGCACTTTTTGGCAGTTCTGAGTTAACAGTTGGACTCAATGGTCTTAAAGGTCCTTTCCAACCTAAGTGATTCTATGATCCGATGATTTTATGGAAGTATTTCAGTTCATATTCAGAGCTCATTTAACATCTTATTCTCCTGAATTCAAGGCCTCAGGGAAAATGCCTATAAGAGCAATGGGATGTCTGTCCAGGAGGTTCAAAACCATGGGTCGGAGCAGGATTTCCTAGCAGTGGAATGTGACAAGACTGCCATGGAATCTCAATACCAGGATGAGCAGTGGGTGGGTAGGTGGTGCGTCCTGCGTTTCCAGAAGGAGCCCCAAGAGCCCCACTCAACACCTGCCACTCATGGGGATGGGGGGGACAATGGGGCCATGTGGATGATGGACCCGTTGGGCTGGCAGGGATGCAGTGGGGGAAAGTCCAGGAGTCAGGTCATTTTGTACCATTATCTCTTTGCAATTCTCTGAATAGCCAGCACCACAAGCATCCCTGCATTTTCCATCAACCCCTGGAAATGGAATACATTAAATCTGGCAGCTCAGTTACAACACCAAAATATGAAAGCACAGTCTTACTTATGCCCCAGTCTGACCACTGCCCCCAGAAGTGCCGCTGGTATAGGTAACATTTTGCAGTTCCTGGTCTCAGAGTACCTGCTTCGAGTCACAGAATCACAGAACATGTTGAGCTGGAAGGGACCTACCAGGAACATTGAGTCCAACTCCTGGCCCTGCAAAGGACGATCCCCAAGAGTCACACCATGTGCCCGAGAGTATTGTCCAAACACTTCTTGAACTCTGTCAGGCTTGGTGCTGTGACCACTTCCCTGGGGAGCCTGCTCCAGTGCTCAACCACCCTCTGGGGGAAGAATCTTTTTCTAATATCCAACCTAAACCTCGCCTGACACAACTTCAGGCCATTCCCGTGGGTTCTGTCACTGGTCACCACAGAGAAGAGATCAGTGCCTGCCTCTCCTCTTCCCCTCATGAGGAAGTTGTAGACTGAGATGAGGTCTCCCCTCAGTCTCCTCTTCTCCAGGCTCAACAGGCCAAGTGACCTCAGCCAATCTTCATACAGCTTCCCCTCAAGGCTGTTCACCATCTTTGTTGTCCTTCTTTGGACGCTCTCTAAGAGCTCAATATCTTTCTTATATTGTGGTGCCCAAAACTGCACACAATATTCAAGGTGAGGCCGCACCAGTCCAGTCGGCTCCATCGTCATCACAGCTCCTCCCTCCCTCACAGTAACTCACTGGCACGTGATGAAAATCATCTGTGTAGAATGTAAGTCTTCTTGAAGGAGTGGAGGGTTTTTTTATAGGGATGAACTATTGAGTCAACCTCAGTATTTCACTGCCCTGAGGAACTGCAGCTTTTTGGAAAATCATTCTTTTAACCGCGTTTGCTGTTGGCTGCATTGGCAGTGTGTGGTTGAGTCAGCCAGTGCCACACAGATTCCGTGATCTCCCAAGGCTGTCAGCGTGCACATCCTCATGGGAAAATGCTGGGACAGAATCAGTCTCTCCAGCTCAGGGGATGCCACAACCACAGGGGCCTCAGCAGGTCACACGGCAAACCCACATCCTGACTTGAGATCCTCCAACATCTGCTGTAGTGGGTAGAAGGATTAAAAACAGACTCTTCCCAGAATTCGTTATCTGGATCTCCAAAGACTGTCCAAATTTGGTTTGCTCAGGAGCTCTCTATTATTAATTACCCTAAAATGAATAAAATCAAAGGCAAGCAATGAAGGACCTATCTGGGAAGCACTCAGACCATGATGAGAGACTCCAGGCAGCTCTTCCCCACCTTCTCTTCCTCACCATGGAACCACTGGCAAATCAAAGTCTGGAGATGAGTCACCTGGAGGCTGCAAGTGCCAGGGGATTGGGTTGGTGGGGCCTGCAGGGGTCTTGGCCAGGATGGACCTGGCAGGCTCAGGCTGGCAGCACCTTTGCTTGTGTGTAAACAGGGGAGTTGCAGCTTAGAGGTTAATGCAATTCCCCTCTTAGAAAGTATTTAGAAAGGGCATTTAAAAGGGTATCACTGACGAATTTAATGCAGCATCAGCATGGCTTTAAAGGTAGTATTAAAAAAATTAATTTTATTATTAAAAAGAATACATATTTTGATTTCCATGCAAGCAGGGTAAGTAATTGATGGAGGATGTTGCAACCCATCCAGTGCAGCCCTGCACAGCAGAAAGAGAAAGTGAAACAAATCCCTCAGTGCAAGCTGTAAAGCCTTCAGGCAAGCAGGGAGACAGCAAGGCCAGGAGCCTTTGGCAGTGCTCCTGCCTGCTGCCTGCTCCCTGCCCGCTGCCTGCCCCAGGCCGCCAAGGCTGGGTAGCAGAGTTATTAGCAGAGATTAGTTAAGCAGCACTGCTGCTTTGGTTTCCTAGACTTGTATTCACATAATCCTCCAAGTCTTGTATTAACACACATCGGTTGGGTTTGGTTATTAGCTTAATTATATCACATGTTCTGGCTTTTTATATTCACTTAGAGACGTATTGTGGTATTTTCAGACTTGGGTCACTTCAGTTTTATTATTGCAGGTGGCTTAAATAAATTTTCACTAACTTTTTCATGTATACTTTTTAAAGAGAACTGTAAAAAGAACAGTTTAGAGCTTTGTTGGAGTTTTTGATTAAGGATAAGGAGCAGCTTCCCTGTAAGTTGTACAATTATGGTCTCCACTTCACTTCAACCCTCACATTAAATGCATCATTCCAAGGCCAGAAAAATCAACTTACCTGACAGATGCAGATATTCGGATACACAAATCAGCTATTTATTACAGATATTTCAGGCCATTTGAATTGTGTTACACATCCCTGTTTCCACATTTCTTTCCTGTGTTTTGCTTCACTGAAGTCCTTCACAAAGCTGTATGCATGTAATCTGCCTCACACAAACAACCTTCCAAGGCTAATTTATTATCAGTTGAGGTGCTCAACACCTTTGCAAAGACTGGGGTGAATGCTCAAATTCTACAGCTGAAAATCAAATACAGGTTTTACTGTATTAATCAATACTCTGATTTAAAAAAATAAATGAGGAACATGATTAGTAATCTTTTGGTATTTGGATACCGACCCAAAAGCAAGTAGAAAAGGGAGCAAGCCTAATGGCCACAACCCTTTTTAGGAGCAAAGCTACACAACGTGCAGCACAGTAGGTTCTCTCTGAAGCATTTTTTAAAGTCTTCTGTGGGACAAAGGAGTTGTCCTGAACTTTTATTGTTTTAAAATTAGTGTGAAAAAATGGGAAAATAGGGAGTTTCCTCTGCAAAAGTCATGGACCAGTGATTAAGCACAGGGGATATCAACTTGAATTCAACTTTTGAGAGCACTGAACAGAGAAAAGTCCATGTAAAATTCCCAGTTTGCTAGTTTACCTCTGAAAAACCACCTGTGGAGCCTCCTCTGCCTTTTGCCCTTTTTCATTAAGTCCAGGTGGTCATGGTGCTGCAAGATTTTTGCACACTGCAGGCACGAGCCATGGCTTGGAGCACTGCTCTGGGATGTGTAGTCTCCTTGTTTATATTTCAGTGCTACGCATGATTAATCCTCCATTTCATTCATTGTCTTTTTACTTCTCTGCTACTGGGAACAGTAAATAAGAGGGAAGTTGTAACAAGAGCCTCCCTTTTATTCAGAGACCTTCTGTTTCCTGCAGGCTGGCGGCTTTGAAAAAAATCACAGCTCCATTGTGCTCCAAAGGCATACTGAATGATTCAGATGGAAAGAAAAGCCCACGTCAGTAGGAACAGGGGACTCAAATTCGAGCGTCGAGGCCGACAGACCAGAGGCATCAATCCCAGGCAGTAGCACATCCTGGCAATGCTGCACCCTGTGACAGCACTGACATTATGGTTTCCCCTTCTCTGTTGTGGGTGTGTGGAAGGCAGGTGCTGCTCCCGGTATTAGGGGTGTCCCTGAGCACCCCTGGCACCACAGGAATGGCACTGATTGCCTGGGGATGGTGGGGCAGCAGGACAACACTCCTGTCCTATCTGGGGAGCACAGATCCAGCCTCTAGCAGCTGGGGGGGAGGTGAACTCACTACTTCCTCCTGGAGCAGGGCTGGCAGCAGTGGATGTCAGGCAGGGCAGGAGGAAGGGGGTAGGGTCACCACCGAGTGACCCCTAGCAGAGGCAGAACCTCAGTGCTCCTGCGTGGAATCAGAGCATGAAGTGCTAGAGATGTTGTTGCTGTCACTGAACATCTGGTGCAAATGCTCCCCAAAAATAGATAATTTCCTTCTTCCACCTCAAAGGAAAGTGCTGGAAGGAGTCTCAGTCATAGCTGGGCTGGTGCAAGGAAGGGCCCCTGCCATAGGCGGGTTTACTGGCAGCCTCCTACTTGGAGACTATTACACCTCCTGGCATGTAACTCTTGGACCAGCCATCAGTCCCAGGCAGGATCCAAGGGGTTAGTCCTGTGAAATGCCCTGACACCCACATGGGTGCTGTGCCTCTCAGCCCCTGCCCCAGAGCACAAACCCACCAGCACTTTGCTACCGGTGGGTGACAAAGCAAACCCAAAGCCTTCAGTCCCAAAAACCTGCTGTTAAAGCTGCTCCTGTGCTGAGGGGCTCAGGCTGTGATCAGTCCTCACCTGCATTTCCCAGTTCCAGTTTTACATTACAGTAGTAGTTCACAGCACCTTCCTTATTGGCAGGCATCAGTAGAAATGCGTGTCAACAAAACCAAAGCGAGCGTAAGCGACAAGTCAGATAATGAAATATGAGTCACTGTTATTCAATCATTTACCAGCGCACGTTCTACAACAAAGTTCTCTCCTCTAGGATCACCACCACACAAATTTGAGAGTTTAATTTAAAGAGAACTGTGATTTTACTTTTAACTGCATAGCTGAGTCTTCAGAGGGCTGGTGCCTGTTATCCCTGCTTGCAGCCCGGTGCTCTGCTCCCTGTGCATCTGACATTTTCAAGCCAGGTGTGTGGCACCAAGCCCTGGCACAACCCACAACTTGTGCTCAGTATGGTGTGGCCATGGGCAAGAGCTCCACACCGTCCTTCCTCCTGGCAGTTTTCACGCCTCCCCAGCACCAGGAGCGAACTGGCAGCAAGGCAGGGGCTGCCAGGGCAACCCCCCACTCCAGTTGCCATTGGTGGCCCTGCACTGCTGCACGCCTTCATCATCTGTAATGCCACTGGCTGGTGTTTAGGGGATAGGCATTTTCCCCTGGGCTGGGATGGTTTTTAATTTTTGGTAACAAATGCACTTGACAAACATGGCAGCACGCGTCCTTAGTTTCCCCTCTGTAAGCCTAATTTTTTGAATGGTGTCTTGCAAAAAGCATTTAAATGGTGACCTCTTGCTGCTGTAAGATATGTGGGGAGATGGTCTTTCCAGGCATTCAAGCTGTAGTGCTTGGTCTTTCTTGTTTTTACCAGGGAACTTTTGGGAGGTCAGAAATATAGGAATTGAGGTTTTGCTGCCTTAACAGGTTAAGGGCTGCTGGAAGCATGTGGATGAACTTCCTTTGTGCCAAATGACCGTCATTTAAGTCAAACACTTTTTAACAATAGAAGCAAGATTTTAAAAGGGTGTAGCTATAAAAACCCCCACATTTGCTTGTCCTCCTTGCTCTGTGCTGCTGTGCCTCTTGCCACTTAGCTTGATCTTGAGCACTCCTGCTGCAGGGAAGGCTTGAGCTTCTGATGTGGCAAACAGGTAGACTAAGCTAATTTAGCGCTTAAGTCTTTTATTCCATCATAAAGTGGGAAAAGGGAAGGCTCTTCTCTCTTGCGGGTCACCTCTAATAGCAATTGCTTCAGCAAGATGGATTTCAAAATTAGGTGCTCTTGAAGCAGAAGCCACACTGTATTTTTCAGCAGCACAAAGCAGCCGTAAGAGCAATCTGACCTTCATTCTTCATAATAAATTCATTGGGGGAAAAAATCCATCTTTGTTTTTCAGCTTGAAGTACTGTCAAAAGAAAAGCCAGGACACGACATATACAAAATAAAAAGTACAAGACAACTTCAGCAAAATGATAAAAAACTCTCAGAGATTTACTTTTCCTGTTTTTTCTTATTCCAATATCGGAAGAAAGTCTGACAGCTTGTCTACAAGTACATTATTTTGGAATAAAGGCTGGTGTTAATTTAAAGTGAATCTATTCTAGACTAAATTAATACCATCTCAAAAGTGGTTTTCAGATGTAGGGTGCAATCCAGTAGCAAAGTCTGAGGAAAACACATACCCACACTTAGGTACCACGTTGGACTAACACATTTGTAAAACGTCCCTTAATGTATTTCAGGTACTAAAATAATGTCTACTGCAGCCTGACAAAGGAAAATGGCACACACTGTTATTTTCTTCTAAAGCAGCCCCAAAAAGATGTGATCTGTAGTCAAGGGCAGACCTGTAAGCTAAAGAATATCATAAAGCAATGTTGTTTGACAGTATTTGGCATTTTTCTGTTATTAATGAAACAATTGGTACATTTGAGTCCTAAAAGCCTGTAATGGTACAGCAAGGAAACAGTGAAAATTAATCGTCTCTGGAATTAAATACTATCTTTGTATTTTGCCATGTCTCTGTTACAGACACTGTATTGAATAACCCAACATTATAACCCAACACAGCACATTGTCTTTATTCCTTTAATCTCCTGTCAGGCATAGCTGGGAAGGCAGAATGGGAATGTTTACTCTAACTAACAGGTCTAACCCTTAGGCTAGCAAGAATTAGGAGAGTTTTTTTCCAAGCTGGGCTTGTCACCCATCTAGAGAACCTAATGCTGTGGCTGCAGTCTGCCTGGCTCCTCTTCTTGAGGAGTCAGTCAAATCCATCTTGCCGCTTTCTAGCAAGCCTAAACCCAGCTATTACTCAGCCCTTCTCCTCCTTCACGATGGGCTGGTTACACTGATAAAAGCAGCTGTGAAGAGACTCAGTGTCGGCAGTGCCAACAGCACCCTAATTAGGCTGCAGAAATCAGCCACTTTATACCCATTAGTTTAGCTTTGCAGGGGCCCATCTGCCTGGACAGAAACTTTTTGTGAAATTAGCTCAACTTTTTACTACGGGTGGTGTGATTGCTGAAAGCTCGGCAGAAGAGATTGAACGCTGCCTCTGTTTAGTTAAACCAGTTTAAAGTTACAGAGTGTACCTGGAAGGCAGGTGGCTGCAGCTGTACCTCCTTTCAGAACCAACTTGAGATAAACAGCCATAAAATCATTCTGGCTCCATTTGGCATTCAAGGTATCATTACTACCACTTATTAGCATTCAAGTTCTCTCCAGACCAAAACATTTTTGTTGTTTAGAACAGGAAAAGCCTTTTTTCTCCTCTACATCAGGCATTTAGCATTTACGTGAAGGTTAAACGTGTAGGAAATGCTTTTTTACTGTTTTGACAGTGATGCCAGTGCTGTCTAATTCCCTTGTAGGCAACCACTGCCTAAACAATTGCAATTTCACTGCTCATTATTCCCCAGAAAGCAGTCACTTTTAAAGATCAAGGGGAGGCATATTCAAGCTCAAATGTCAGTAGTAACTGACCTCAGATCAAGGAATCTTGGAATGGTCAAGTCCGACCTATCTGTGTCAAGAATCAGTTTTGACCAAGAGGATTATTTAAGTGCTGGTGCTGCTCCCACCCAACATCAGCCTCTGCAGCACTAAAACAGGCAGTTCTAGCATTTATAGTTATTGTATTACCTACCCTCTTCAGCCTTGACACACTTTCTCAATGTTCTAACCCCAAAGACAAGGCATAGGCCACGCCTGGCTGCCAGGTAAGCACTAGCTACTCTTTTAAGTTCAGTTGAATCCTCTAGGTTACTTCTTGTCAGCATCAAGCACTGAGAACAATGGCACAAGACTATAGGGATCTCATTTAGTATGTTTGTTCCAAGAACAAGAAATGTGTCTACTTTCCTCTGATGACCTGGGGAAACAAAAAAACCCTTCAGCACAGAAAATTTATTTGTCATCAGTTACGAGCATTTGAATGTGTAATATCCAGTTTAAGGAGACAAAAAAGTCTGTCTGTCCTAAGCTTTCTATATCGAGACCTTGCAAACAGCATTATTCTTCTGCTTGAAACAGAAAGCAGGAATGTACATATCTGAGAACACCAACACACAAAAAACCCCCAAATCCTTCGGATATTAAGTGAGCCATTTAACTTAAGTATTTAAAACCTCTGCAATTATTAGTTTATTAGTATCATCCAGGATTTCAGATGTTCAATATTTCTCCTGAAGTTATACATAAATGCAAATTGAAATAAGAATCTGAAAGTCAAAATTGTATAACAAAACAATACTCCATCACAAAAGCGTGTAAAATTACAAGAATGCTTTTTTTTTTTTAAACACTGGCACTTAAGAGAACCATAATTTTGTAACCACAAAATTGCCAAATTGTCCCCCAAACTGGTAAGCAGGTATATGTGAAAATAGTTACAGCTGCCAGCACTTGAAGTTTTACTAAATATGCAAAAAACCCCTTAGCTTTGGTTTTGGAAGAGAACTGTATTTGACCAAATTAGACATTGTTGGTATACCATAAACATTTAACTTTTTAATGCAAAATTTAATAAAATGTACTTTTCCATACAACTATATTTAACTTAAAAATGGGCAAACATCAAGAGTGCGGTATAAAACCTAACAGGAAAAATACATCTTATCTCATTTTCAATTTGAGACAATATACAACTTTTTTTAAAGGGCTAAAACTAGAATTTCAAGAATACAAATATGAATTTACATAGATTTAACAAATAATAATGGTATCATTTATAGAAATCTTAGAAAGAAAATTCATTTCTTGTGGGCCATTTACTACCAGGAGTTTCATGGTATAAAGCCCGTGGCCATCACCAGACCTGTCACCAAAAAATAATATGGTCATTTCATGCTTTTAACTTTACACATTTTAGGTACGCTCATCGCTCTCAGGTGTTCAGAGATTTACAAATATAACTTCCATTACATGGTAACAGAGTCACACATGTAAATTTCTCTACACCGGATGGACATACACTCTTCCTATGGGTCCTTCTAGGACAAAATTTAACATTCCCTCCCTCCCCACCCCCCAAAGTATTTAATTTCTGTAAAATTGAACTCTGTACTTCTCAACTCTCCAAGACTGGTAAATTCATGCAACTCAATAGAATATTACATTTCACAAAAATCAGAACAAGTATCAGTTTGCTGAGATTGAATTTTTTTTTGTTTTGTTTCCAGTTATGGAAGTATATTCTTTCATCATATGCCTATATATTTCTTTTCTTACCCTATCATGATAATGCAGGGTATGCAGATCAAAGCTTTGTTTATCAGCTGGTTATATGAAAGATGAAAACTGTAATATTCCCGTGATCCCATATGGGCATTCAATAAAGCAAAAGATGAGTTCCCCTCAAAAAAAAAAAAAAAAAAAAAAAGAGAGAAAAGAAAAAGTGTGATTCTCAAGGGCACCTATTAAAAGGACAACAATACTAATAAAAAAAAATTGTATTTACTTAGAAGCATTCAGAATGTCAACAAAACAGCTGCAACTTTTTTTCTTCTTTTTTTGCAATTACAGAGTGGTATTCAGTTAACAGAACAACAATTATTTTTATGATGCATCAGAGACAACTGAAGATGAGAAATGAACTACATCCCCGAATATAACTAATTTGTGCTGTGCACCAACAAGAACCTGCTTTATAACTCCCATGCCAATTTACAACCCCCACACTGTACCAGGCAAGGTTAGTGGCCATTGAAATACCACTAAGGACAGGGCTATCTAAAGACACATTCGGTAGTGTGTTAACTATACAAAAAAAGAGACACTGTACAGTTTAAAAACAAATCTTACACAGCCTTACATTTCAATTTTGTTTTCTTTAAAAGGAGTGAATTGTGTACAGGGGGGTTAAATGCTTTATAGACAAGAAAGAAATTGCTCTAAAAGAGACTTATTCATCATCATCATCATCTTCATCCTCCTCTTCTTCCTCCTCTTCATCATCTTCATCCTCTTCATCTTCATCCTCATCTTCCTCCTCCTCCTTCTTCTTCTTGCTCTTCTCAGCCTTGGCAACTACTTTTTTGCCTCCATCAACCTTCCCTTTGGCCCGGTATGCAGCAATATCCTTGGAGAAAAAAAAGCAGGAAGAATCTCAAAGATTTAACCAGCCAAGTGGCCAAGTGTCTGCCCTTTCTCCACATCCACTGGGGTTGGACTGGGAGCTGCAGCTTCAGTTACAAGGTGAACTGAAGCCCAATGCCAAAGAAAGGGGAACCCTCTAACAAAAAAAGAATACTGGCACAAGAGAACACACTGCTTATGATGCTAAGGAATCTCCACTGTTAGGCTTCTGCGAACAGGTTGGAAAAGCTGCTGCCTCTTATGACAAAGGCACAGCTGAGTCCACTATCCCATAAGGAAACAAAGTAAGGAGACCTCTTAAGGTCCCTTTCTAGCCCTACCTTCTACAATGCCTAAAGAAATGCACAGGAAAACCCTTGTCTGAGGCACAAATCTGGAATTACCCACCCAGAACACATAGAATGACCCAGCCTAACAGTTGCAATGTTATGCCTCAGCGAAAAGCAGTTACACAGAATTCTGCCTAACAGAAATTTACAAAATAAAAAGGTATAAGAACTTGATTAAAGGGTAGACAGTGCCACCTTCTGCACACAGTAAATTCATTCCAGTAGTTTATAACGCACAAAACTCAGTTCCTGTTACAGGCAAGTCCGAACCATACCTGGAAGGCCAAGTCAGAAAAGCAGTTAAGACTTCCCAACTTCATGCCAAAACAGTAAGAACAATTAGGTAAGAGAATTGATCTACAAGACTTAAACACACCAGCTACAGGGCAAAGTCAACATGTTTATGCAGATGGTCCAGATCTTTAAATAGTTCCCACCTAATGAACACTACACCACTAATCTTACAGGTCCCTTGGACTCCCTTGAAGCTCAGCATGAAATTTTGAGAAGATACAATAGCCACTAACTCAAAGGCCAAGCAGTGAAATACTGAGATAACTCCACCTTAAAAACTCATTTGTAAGTCTAAGAAATAAAGACAATACTAGTGAAAATTAAAGTATCTCTGCATAAAAACTAATAATTCTACCATGTAAAGAAAATGTCTTATGAATTGCCTTGGCTGTATGTACAAACAATTACCATGATACCGTACACAAAGCATCACATGGGAAAGCTTCTAGACCTGCAACTCCTCGCCAGTACGTAATTAGGGCTCAAAGGTTCCACCTTGCTCACTACAGTGCTAAGATTTTAAACTGGATTTGTTTGCCAGCAGAAGCAATACCCAGAGGAAGGTCACGGCACACAAACAGACGTATGTGCTATACGTTAGCTATAGGTGGTCACTGACCCACTGCAAAGCATCATCAGGGGATGCTAATGTGCACCCCCCCTCCTTTGGCTCCCACATACTTGGGATGGGAATTTGCCTCTAGAAATAAAACCATGCACAGCACAACCCCGTGTGCACAACAGAATTCTACAGCTCCAATTACGACAATGTGATTTAGCTTTAATAATTAAAAAAACTGTATGACAAGCTGCTTTATATGTATAATTAACTAAGTTAATTACTAGAAGAGATGGACACAAAGTAGGTCTAGGAAAAACATGTCTAAAACTAGCATCTCCTTAGTGTTTTGTCATTATCCCAAGAATAAATTTTAAAACGCACCGATGTGTATCAATTATCCCAATGTTCAGGGATGCTCATCACTACGGCCAAAATTAGGAAGAACCAATTCATTCTTTACTAGTGTTACTTACTAGTCCCTTAACTCAGACACCACTGTGACCTATGGATTTAATAACGACACAAACACCATGGTGTCTATTGAGCCATCGGTGACAGCCCAAAATTACAGATGAATGCCAATAGTTCAAGACAAATGACTGCAATTTGACGTTACAGCAACAAACCATATGTCCCCTTATGTGGTATTTTTCAACAACTATAATGAAATCTGTAATTACGGATAATATTATAATTTGCAACATCAGGTATCAAGAGTTCATGAGAAGGAAAAAACTGTCTAAATTGAGACTTGACCCCCCCAACCATCTCCATAGATATCAATGTTACCTTTTCATACTTCTCCTTCAGCTTAGCAGCCTTTTTTTCATAAGGCTGTTTATCGTCTGCAGCGGTGTTGTTCCACATCTCTCCCAGTTTCTTTGCGACATCTCCAATGGACAGACCAGGATGTTCTCCTTTGATTTTTGGACGAAACTCAGAGCAAAACAAGAAAAAAGCCGAACTACAGAGGAAAAATAAGACAACATTATTTTAATTTTAGACCTTGCTATCACAGCAACTTTTGTGATCTTTGTTACTGTTCCTTAGGAGCATTTCGGAGCAGCACCCAAAGTGAGACAAATGTTGATTACAATGGAAGGTATTAGAACCGAATGACCTACTTTGTGAACTTATACACACTGCTCTCCCGTTTCTGGCAGGACCCCCTGAAAAGCAAATTTTATATACCGTACGCAGAGAAAATCTTAAAAAGAAGGAATGAGCGAATAATACCAAGGAGCAAACGTTATGTCAGAACTGTTAAAGGCCAAGGGGCTGCAGTATGTGTTATGGAAGTTAAGATTTCCTGATGACAGCATTAGCCCAAATAAGAACATTAGCTTGTAAAGGAATTTCCCTGTTCCTTTCAGCATTAGCTTCATTTCAAACAAACACACAAAAACATATTTGTGGAAAGCATTGGTGTGTAGTAGGAGACAAACCTGGAGCCAGTTGTCATTATGTAGCAGCTGAGGTTTTAATTCTCCAAGCTGGTTTTGAGCAAGATCATCCCTCTAACCTGTTCAGTGTAAAAGTCTCCAATTTTAAACGGACTGCCAACCAAAAATTCTGCTAAGGCCAACAGGTGATGCCCACAATACTCTACTGCTATATTACACTAGAATTACTCTCTTAATAGAAATCAGAAAAATCAGTCAGCATCACACATCTTCAATTTTTGCATTTACCTTTAAAGGCTGCCATTACTCCAACTTTGATAGTGGGACAGCCTGCCTGAAAATAAAAGCCTAATATTCATAACTAATATCTCAACCTATCTTTAGTCTGGTATTTCTGAAGCTCCTAAACCTGGAAAAAATTATCATTTTATAGATACACACCAGTGTGATGGTCCTGAACAAGACAACCTAAAACTAGAAATGTACTTACGGAGGCCTCTTCGGTGCATTTGGGTCCTTGAACTTCTTTTTTGTTTCCCCCTTAGGTGGTACATAGTTTTTCATTTCTTTTTCATAACGAAGCTTGTCAGCCTTTGCCATATCTTCAAACTTCCCTTTCTCCTTAGAAGACATAGTCTGGAAGGTAATTAGAATCACAGAATATCTCGGAAGGGATACAGAAGGGTCAAAACAGTATTTTAAGATTCAAAATTCAAAAATGTATCGAAGTCCACTTCAAAATTTCAGTTGGGGGAGCTAAAGGTAAGACAAGGACAACGGATAGTTACCACTAATCCTTCAACTGCACTTCGTACTTACCTAAAACCTGAATTTCTAAATAAATCATTTACAAGCTCAAATAGTATTTCACACAAAGCAGTCATTTAAGGCTTCTTTTTAAGAAACTATTCCTACCTTCCATCGTTCTGAGCATTTTTTTGAGAACTCTGAGAAGTTCACTGAAGCATCTGGATGTTTCTTCTTGTGCTCCTCCCGGCAGGTTTGCACAAAGAAGGCATATGAAGACATTTTACCTCTCGGCTTCTTAGGATCGCCTTTGCCCATTTTTGCTGATTTTCTGTAACAAAGCAAGAGAGACACCTTTAAAACTTGTACTTTCAACAAACTCAGGTGGGAAGTAAGTCACAATGAAGGATCACGCCAAACAAGGCCCACTGGAGCAGTATTCTGGAATCACACAAGAGGAAGAAGTTTGCCTTCTGGAAAATTTACTGAACATTTCTGTCATCCCTGTCTGAGGCAACCTGGATGCAAGCAACCTGAAATCTCAAAGGCCCTTCAAAATGTCCAGTTATGGTTTCCTGCAAACAAAAACTCTCCTTCTAAGAAATCTGAAGGCAAGTACTGCAGTGGAGACTGCACACTATGATTATTACCAGTGTATTTATCGTATGTTTGGGCAGAATAAATTCTATCAAGAGAAGGGAAAAAGTACCCAAGTATCCTGTCTCAGCTGGCCTTCTGGGTTACTAAATTCTTTCTTTCTACAGCCCATGTATCTACATCCCTGTAGGCCTTGGGTGTTCACTTACAAAATATGTGTATTTTTTATTATTTTCTATGTGTCATGTGACATATATTGTCACTCTCCTTTATATGTACTGCAAAAACTTACTCCCTCTTTGTATATATACCTAGAAATACGAAAATGAAACACTGCACTTGGACAAACTTGTTCTAACCTAGGCAGGGAAAAGTATGACATTTACACACAGCCTGCAAAGCTCAGTATGAGGACTATCTGATTCTTTCAGGGACTGAAAAATACCTTCCTGGAACTTTCACACCCAAGTCAGACATCTAGACTATTTCTCCATAGCTCCCTGGAAAAAGTCACTTGCACCCTGACAAACTCTGCTCTTCAGCAGGAGTTAAAAGAAGAAGAAGAAAAAAAAGTGTGGAAGGAAAAAAAAAATAAAGGGCATGCAGTGCCTGCCCGTACTGCCACAGAAGCTGCATTTCCTATCGGTTTGGCGGATAGACAGAAACAGATTTCTGCTCTGTGACTAAACACGTCCGGTTTGAAGTTTCTATCAAGTAAACAAGAAGGCTGAGGAACCAGGAGCCGCTCCTGCCTGCCATGGAGACGCTTCCAGCGCCAAACGGCACGGACGCTCGGCCGGGCCGGGGCACTCCCAGCTGGCCGCGGGGTTGGCGGTGAGGGCGGGGGGGTCTCAGGGCACGGAGGGGCCGCGGGGAGCAATGGGCACCGCGGCCGAAGGGCTGGCGTTTAAAAGCCTCCTCCTTCCCGCCATTTTGGACGCTTCCCTGTGAGGGGGCAGAGGGAAACTTCAGAAGTCCCTCAAGAGACCTGCTGGGGGTGAGAGGGAAAAAGGGGGAAAAAAAGAAAATGAAAAAAAAGAAAAAAAGAGTCCCGTTATTAGGGAAAAGCTGTGAAG